GGGCAGTCGCACAGACTGTGCTAACCACAGGGGTATTAGCCTAGCGCCAGTTGTGACAAAATTACTGGCCTCGATTATCGTTCGTCGCCTCACTGCAGAACGGGAATCTCGGATTAGGGAAGAGCAGGCCGGTTTTCGCCCAGGACGTGGCTGTATAGACCATATATTCACTTTGCGGCAGGTGCTAGAGCAGCGCCACGCATACCGCAGACGGACAATAGCTGTGTTCCTCGATTTCAAGAGTGCGTTCGATTCAGTCGATCGATCGATTCTGTTCGAATTACTTGCGCGAAAAGGTGTCCCCACGAAATATGTGAACATCCTTCGTTCTGTATACTCGAACACTACAGGCCGCGTCAGGGTCTATGGTGTCCTATCGGATAGCTTTTCGACTACAAGTGGCGTTCGTCAGTGTTGTCCGATTTCCCCATTTTTGTTCAATTTCGTCGTGGATTCTATCATGGAGTGTTCCCTGACGCAATCCAACGACGTAGGCGTTGAAGTGCTGCCTGGTGAAAGGTTAGTTGATCTAGATTATGCGGACGATATCGTCTTGCTTTTCGACAATGTTGAGGCGGCACAATCAACCCTGAATAGCCTGTTCAGAGTGGTCCCATTATTCGGTATGCACTTTGCACCTTCAAAATGCAAAGTGTTGCTGCAGGATCACCAGCCACTTTATGACCCCTTGACGCTTGCTAACGAGGAACTCGAGGTGGTTGATCATTTCACTTATCTTGGCAGCTGCATCAGCAATGATGGGCGCATAGAAACTGACGTGAGCTCACGCATTGCAAAAGCCAGAGCTTCCTTCTTGAACCTGCGTCATCTTTGGCGACAGAAGGGAGTTTCCCTCCGTCTGAAAGGCCGTATATACAAGGCCGCAGTGAGGGCCGTTCTGCTCTATGTTAGTGAAACTTGGCCCCTTCGGTCTGAAGATCTGAGGCGCCTTCAAGTCTTTGATCATTGTTGTCTGCGAAGCATTGCTGGTGTCGGATGGCACCAGCGTATCCGCAACGATGATGTGCGTAGGCGAGTACTAGGTAATGATAATCATGCTAGCTCCCTAGAACAACAGATAGCACTGAATAAGTTGCGTTGGCTCGGGCACGTGCTACGTGTGCCTGGTCACCGCTTACCTAGGAGGGCCTTGTTCAGTCTACCAGGTGTAGGGTGGCGCAAGGCTCGAGGTGGACAGAAGTTGACTTGGCAGCGGGAAATGAAGTCACTGACGACCAAACTGGGTGCCGTTGGTCCGTCTCGCCTTCCGGGTTGGAGTCCACGTGACTCACCTTGTACTTGGCTCGAGACTTTACAGGACATGTCTCGCAACCGACACCAGTGGCGCGTCTGCTGCCGTCTTCTAATCGGATTGTCTGTTTAAAGTATGTCTGGTGCTGAGTTATCTGCGGGGTAATGGCTGATTATGACGCGAGGCAGTGAAAGCCGCAAGGAAGCTGTCTCGCCGATGCCGCCTTATCTTTGCACGATAGCCAGCTGTTTGTGACGGTATGTTGTCTACACAAGATGTAGGCGCCTTGACCCTGAATGTTTGCTTAGGGCATTAAGGTTTTCAGGTAAGTCCCCCTTTCTCTCCCTCTTCTTATTCTTTATTTCAAAGGTCCTCATGGTTGTATGGCAGCGAAGCATCAGTTCAAATGGCTGATGTACTGCTGTTGATGATGATGATGATGACCAACGAATAGAGAATCAAGACCTGGAAATTCAGGTTTTATTCGTCTGTGAATGTAGACGAGAGCTGAAAGAACAGGGAAAGTGTATTGGCAACAATAAATATAGAAAGAAATAATACCACAGTCTGAACACTCGAGACCCTGTCGATCGATAGTTGCTGCAGGAATCGAGCTCTGTGCTTACTCTGCGATCCCCCACATGTGACACTGACGGCACATTCTCATTGCGCCTGTCTGGTGATGACGCACCTTCAAATGCAGGTCAAGTTGGCGTCGGCATTGTTTTGAGTCCCCGGACCGAAGCTGCTCTGATCGACTGGATCCCAGTCAAAAGTCGGCTGTGCACCGTTAGATTAGCTTGCTCGTTCCAGCCTTCGAAGTCGCGCGGAGACAAACGGTGCCTGTTTGTCATTGCGGCCTATGCGCCCACAAACAGTTGCACTGATTCGGTGAAAGACGATTTCCATCGCCAGTTTAACGATCTTCGTTAAGAAAGAAACACGGATACTGTGGTGCTGGCCGGTGGTCTAAACGCCCAAGTCGAAAAATTGTCCTCTGATGAGCTTCATCTGGACGGCCAACATGGTGTAGGCTCCCGTAATGATAACGGTGAGCGGTTGCTACACCTGTGCGAAGATGCTCGTCTCTTTCTCGCGAGCACTAACTTTCGACATAGCACCCGCAGACGAGTGACTAGACGCCCACCAGCCATGGACGCAAATCGATCACATCGCTATTAGTTACCGCTGGAGGGGCCGTGTCCAAAACTATCGCTCAATTTGGAGCACCAACGTGGAGTCCGATCACGCTCTTGTGTGTGCCGACCTTCGGGTGCGTTTCGGCGGACGTCCGCAACGTCGCTCTGAGCGCATTAACACCAGCAAATTGGCGAAGCCAGGTGTTCCGAATGCGTATCAAGGTACGCTAGCATCTGGACTGAGTAAGCACCCACTGAACACCGTCGAAGATCACTGGTTGCATATTCATCAAACGTTACTATCAGGAGGCATGTCTTCGTGGCAAATCAAATTGCCAACCTAGACATTGCGTTTCTACAAGGTCTCTGGGACTTATGGATGCTCGCCGGCCTATTAATGCTGAAGCGAATACAATGTAACTCGCAAAAATTTCAGGGCAAAACTGTATGCTAGCCTGAACAGAGATCGCGAAGCTTTGTTGTCTCATTGTGCATCGGAAATGGAAACATCTGCTGCCGTTGGTAATCATCGTGTTATTCCGTCTAATACGGGAAACAGGCAGCAGCATACCTGGTGTTAGCGAGACAATACACGACGAAAATGGACGGTCTGTCAAAACGCTTGGGGCGTTGGGCCGAACACTTTGCAGGGCAGTTTAACTAATCTGAGTTATCACTCCTTCTCGGGCATTGAATGCCCTTCTCCATGGGTCGTCTCCTTACATCCGCCCTCATGCGCAGAAGTTCTACGTGAGATACTGTCGAAATTGCATAAGGCCGCAGGGGCCGATAGAATTCCCCCAGCCCTCTTCAAATTCTGCGGACCTGCTCTTGTAAATGATTTTCACGAGTTGCTAGTGGAACTTTTGGAGCAGGAAAGTGTCCCGACAGACTGGAGCCGCTCCGCCATAGTCCCAGTCCTCAAGGGAGGCTCATGTTCGGAATGCGGCAATCATAGGGGGATCAGTCTGATCTCAATTGCCACTGAATTGCTTGCGTCTGTCGTTCTCCACAGACTGACTGGCGCTCGTGAGGGCCAGATCGGCGATAAGCAAGCCGGGTTTTGTCGAGGTCGGGGCTGCATCGACCACATATTCACCTTGTGTCACATGTTGGAGCACCGCTATGTTTATTGGCGACCCACCGTTGTCGTGTCTCTCGACATCAAAGATGCCTACGATTCGGTGGATCGATGTGCCCTTTGGAACTGTCTGCTGGGCAAAGGTGTGCCCGATAAATATGTAAACATTATCAAAGCGCTGTACGCGCACTGTTCGGACAGAGTGAGGGTTTATGGCAAACTTTCATCGCCCTTCAATACTTTCAGCAGTGTGAGACGAGGTTTCCCGCTGTCACCTTTCCTCATTAACTTCGCTATTGATGAAGTCATGAAAACAGCGTTAACTGGACATGATCTAGAAGGTGTGGAGTTACTTCCTGGTGAGCGACTTCTTGTCTTGGAGTATGCGGACGATATTGCCCTAATCTGTGACAGTTCCGATAAGTACTAGCTGTCAATCGTTTTGGGCCATGCTTTGCTCCATTGAAGTGCAAAGTACTTCTCCAAGGTTGGCAGAAACCCACTCCTGCGCAGACCTTTAGTGGTAATCAGCTAGAAGTCGTTCGGGGATTCAAGTACTTGGGCAGCTACATTAGCACTTGTTGGATCGAAGATGAGATTACCAACCGCATAGCAAAAGCTCAAAGTGCTTTTGTCAATCTCCGCCACCGGTGACACAGACGCGACATCACTCTCGCCCCGAAGGGCAGAGTTTATAATGCAGCCGTCCGTTCATCTCTCTTATACGGTTGGGAAACCTGGTCCATTAGTTCCACATACATAAGAAGGCTAGTCATGTTCGACCATCGCAGCTTAGCTCATGTCTGGTGGGAGCACCGCGTGAGCAATGAGCGTGTTCGGCGTCGCATTTTTGGTGTAGGAAGAGCTAGTGAACCGCTCAACGCCATTATATCACGCACCAGGCTCCGATAGGTGGGCCACGTGTTGCGCATGCCAGCACACCGACTCCCGCGACGTGCATTGTTTGCGCGCCGGGGGTGTGGTTGGAAGAGGAGAGCAGACCAAGCGATGACTTGGTCGAGAGAAATGAAAACCTTCAATTCGAAGTTGGCGTCGGTTGGTGAATGCCGACTGCCTGGCTGGGGTCCTAAGGACGATGAACACGTTTGGTTGGACACACTTGGTGATATGACGAAGAGCCGGTCCCAATGGCGTTTGTGTTGTGACTTTCTTTGTCCATCCCCCTCCCCTTTAGATTCCCCTCCAATTGAGATCTCACACGAAATACATAATATAATGTTGTACATTATATTACCTGCTTTTGACTTTTTTCTAGTGTAACTTTTCTCTATCTTACCTTGTATTGCGGCACATTAGCTGAGGTGTATTTCTCACCCTCAGCTAACATGTATTGATGATGATGTTATCCGGATGCACTGGAGTAGCAACAACTAACCTTCACTATTTGATATTATCGTTCCCTCTTCGATTTTTAATCCCTGCTCTGTCACTTCACATGTCTAAACTGGCAGTGTTGACCACATGTTGGGCAACCGACTAATCAGGATGTTTCGTACGCTCCATTTTAGGCTCACTAAGGCTTAACAGCACTTTATCGATTCCCGGTTCAACGATCCAGTCAAGAGAGACCACTCGCCGAATTGTCCTTCTCTTTCTGCCACACTTAAATTTCAGTGTCTAATCGCTTTCCATATTCATCCTTCCCAAAATTTAGAATTCTTGGTGATGATTAAGCTCCTGTTTTTCTTACTTTGATCAAGAAACGCGATTAAATTTGCTGACAGCTGTGCTCACAAGTAAATGTTTTTTGCATCTACATGTCATTACTTATCAGTGCTTTCTGAGAACACCGCGGCGTGCAAAATGGAAAATGTCCCATCATCAGGAGCCACCAGTGCAGTTCAACTAACCCTAAGCAATTACTTTAACATGAATTCAACCCCAGAGGATCCGTTCGAATCAGTTTTTTCCACGGAATCCTCTACTGCTGAACCGGTTAGTTTACACTGGTTTGTTTAATCTTTTTCAATGAAATTTTCTGCCAAATGTGGGGAATTCGTGCTGCAATGGTTCGAGCGTCTGATTTGCATCCTCTGTGCCGCGAGCACCAGTTCCCGCCCCTCCATCGATTTGGGCAACTTGACCCGCATAAGACTGCTTGCTGTAGCATAACACTGAAATAAATGTATTACATGTATCCGTTACGACAATACTGGACCCTAACCTGATGCGACGGTTTGCGTACCTCCTCCATGCTCCATCTAACTACACCAGTTGTCACTTTCCCACTTGGTGCATAGCAATTAATACAAGTCATGTCCCTAGGTATGAGTTCGACCGACTCAACGTCAACATCTCATATACGATGGGCCTGAATTCGAAGATGCTTTTCCTTTAACCTTACCCAAGGAACCAGCGATTTACTGATTATGTGCCCTAGGTAGACTCGTCGGGAGCGCGGTAACCCCGGATTATCCTTGGTGATCGTGAATCACGACAGTTGCACTGTGGTTTACTACCACCTGCTTCACGCCAAACATCCACTAGCCGAAAAATTACAAACCACTGAAGCTCACGTGATTTTGAACACACTCACTGTGTCATACCGTACCACCAAGCAATACGCGGAGCGTTTCGGATTATCTGAGATTTCATGCGACCGGTCTCAAGATAGTCACACTCTAAAACGGGGCTGTTTCCCGTAATATTGTGGGCCACGGAACACTGGTCCGAGAAATTCAATAGTTAGTGAGACAGTAGCTGAGAAAGATGGACATTTGATTCATTCTTAGCCTTGTCGACTAACCCATTGGAGATCAGTTCAGCAGGCCTGCTGCAACACTGCCTCTTGCTGAATCACCTGAGCTGACACGGGAAGTAGATGTCACACTTCCCAGTGTGGAAGAGATCCGATACGAACTTTTTGTGTTGGAACGAAACATTCTACTGGACCCAACGACCTTCCATCTGTACTGAGAGATGGAGGTGGCACTTTGTCAACTGGACTCCCTTCCCTATTTGACACGATTCGGAATACTGAAAAGGTTCCTTCAGACTGGCGACTGTCAACTTCCGTGCCCACCTTCAAGAAGAGTCAGTGTACTTTGTATGAAATAATCGAGGCACTAGCCTTGTTTCCGTTGCCTCCGAACTTCCCACGGGTACCATTCTTCCATGACTTACTGTTCCTCATGAAAATCGAATCACTGAAAGCCAGACTGGCTTCCACCATGGTCATGCTTGTACCGACCACATATCTACTCTTGCCAAGTTTTAGAGCAGTAACATACACAGATGACCGATCATGGTGGCTTTCCTCGACCTAAAAGCCACCTTCGACTGTTGACTGCGCCAGCTTGTGGCACTGATTATTCTTGAAGGGCGTGTCAGCTAAATTCCTCTCCATTATGCATTCTCTCAACCGTGACTCCGGAGACCGACTAAGGCTCTACGAGAAACTGTCTCCTGAGTTCCCCACGACAAGTGAGGTTCGCCAGGGTTGTCCTATATCTCTCTACCTCTTCAACTTCGTTATAGAAGTGATCATAAATGACTCCGTTCTTGCAGACTACCGGGGTACGAGTTCTGCCAGGTGACTGACAAACCTGTAGTATGCGGACGACAGTTTTCCTTGGGTCTGACGCAGTGACTGCAAATACTAGTGGATGGAGTGACGCGTAGTGTTGCACACTTCGGCCCTTGTTTTGCATTTACAAAGTACAAACTATCATTGCATGACTGGACCGACACTCCCCCGGTTCTAGCTCTCACCGAACAGCCACTAGAAGTGGTGGATTGGTTCACTTACCTTGGTAGTTATGTCACCTCTGATAGTCACTGAGGAGGTTACTTCGCGTATCGACAAGATCCGTGTGACTTTCTGGCTATTCAGCCATATATGGAAACGACGGGATGTCAGTGAAAGGTAGGGTGTGTAACGCTGCGATAAGGCTGGTTTTACTGTATGGATCAGTGACCTGTTCGCGGCGATGACATTAAACCTTAGGCCGTGTTTGATCACCAGGTCCTTGCGAAATATTTTTCACATATGTTGGGTACATCGGGTGAGAAACACTGCGGTCCGCCAGTTGGCCTTTGGCAACAAGCCTTCTGGTGCCTCAAGTGTTTGTTGAATCTTAATCGCTTACGTTGGCTAGGCCATGTCCTCCGCATGCCCGTTGACCGGTTTCCTCGGCGTGCATTATACGCCGTGACTGCACTGTTGGGCAAAACCGCAAGATGACCAGTCCGTGACGTGGCACAGAGGCATGAAGAAATTAACTGAGGCTTGGTTAGGCTGGTGCGTGTCCTCTTCGTGGATGGGGCCCTTGGAATGGTCCACGCTAATAGTGCAGTCACGTAGTCAATGGCGTTCCTGCATTCGGTTTCTTGGATCTGGTTGTTAATTTTCCTTCCATTCGAGTTAGTTCAACGCATTTCCTTCTTGTTTCCATTTTCGTTACCTTCTATTCGCCTTTAACTCCACTATCTTGCCTTCGTTATTTATTGTAATTCTTGCCATGTGAATCGTGGCAACTGGCTCCACGTCGATTCGCTTCTGGGATCGTAGTTTAACTGAACTGAACTGTGTGCCAAATAGAGTTGTTGGCGTTAGAATCATCGGGGCAGGCTACTCTCTTAAAGGCTGATTGCTCACAAATGAGGCCCCTTTTCGGTATGAGGTATAACAAAGTGCTTTCCGTCCTCTTCTCCAATGTTGTTTTTTCTCTGATGTTTTCTTCCCCTATGGAACCTCTCTGCTTAGGTTACCCAGCAAAAGACTCTCATTAATTTCTTCATCCATACCATAAAATATCAGACCGCGCTCTTTGTCTCGGATACCGTTTTACATCAGGTCCTTCAGTGCTCCTTTTATCTGCCAGATATTTCTGTAGTTAGCGCCATTTCTTCCTTATGACCTCGGGGTTTACCTTTTCCTTAACTCCTTAACCCATATATAGACTATAGACGCTTGTCCTCACCTTCGGTTATCAATTCAGACCGGCGATATTTGTCATTTTCTGTAGTGCAATATCGACGAAGGCAACTTAACTGGACTCGGATTTGATGCAACAATTTGCAGGAGATTCCTTTCCATTGAGCCATACTGTATCGTGACAATACCTCTGAGCTGCTATGAAACTAGTCAGTGGTTGGCATTCAAGTTCAATCTCCTTGGTCTCCCAATTTGACGGTTCATGTCTGCGTTGCGTCCATTTCTGTGAAACTAGTTCATTTTTGGACTGTTGTCTCATTTTTATCTCCTTTGAAGTCATACTAAAGTCAAAGGTTTTTGTTTAGAAGTCTATCTCACAGCTATGCTGTTTATTGACACATTTTGAATCTCGTAGTTCTAGTATGAAAATGCCATCTCGCTCGCCGTTCAACCCCTAGAGATATTGATCAATTTGTCTATCTTCGCAATTAAATTAGCGCCCACTGCGTAGGTCTACTAACCTTGGTTCACTTTTCGTAAAAGCGGGGACTATCCTTATGAATCATTGATATCTTTTTTTCAGAAAAGTATGCTTGGTGTTATTAGCCGTGCATCCAAGACCACATTTAAGATTTTTCTATGGCAGTTTGATTTAACTTGTTTGGCATGAAAGCATCAGACGTCTCTAGTTTCTTGACCATCGTCGCCTACGAAGCTGTACACTCTCAGGCGCGTCCTGAAGTTTTGGATCGGGTAATGCCTTGTAGATGTAACTTCGGATAAGTTTTGTCTACTCTACAGGTGAGAAAAGTTAAGAATCCCAGCACGTAAGAAATTCTGGGCTGTCCATCTGGTTCCATTAAATGCCACATTGGGCATAAGGCGCTGTGTCAAAGCCAATGTGACCGGCTATAGCGCCACTGACCACACAGTTTCGCAGCCAGAATTGAGCACAACGGAGGACGGATGTGCAGCCTCGATCATCTGCTTCTGTGTGGACCGTAATTCAAACGTTATGAGGACGTATGAGCTACCCAGTCGTCAACGACATTCGTATCTAGCGGCGAGTTCGGTGATGCACGAGACCTTCTCTGGCTTCCGTGTCGCTATAGTCGGACATTTTTTTGTGTCCCACTAGGTTCTTCTTCTTGAAAACCATGTAGCCCAGAACATGGTTACCGGTTTTCAGGGGTTCGCGATACAAGCTAATCACCGTGTGTTGTAGCGCCTATCGCAAGTTCCACTCATGTCTTTCACGCACCGCAGCCTGCAAATGATTGGATAAGCGTCATCGCTGAATCAATATCAAGGTCATTACGCCTGTACTTTACCTGACTCACTTTTGTGGATAGAGTGTTCAGAGAGTGTCCACCCCCGTGCTCTGTTTTCCTTAATGCGTTCCGCCCGTAGTGAGTCAAGACTCTGCTTGCGTAGGGGTTTAGTGTGCCTATTGGGACAAATTTCCGTCTCGGCTGCGAGCTGGTACACTGGCATTCCGTCTTCCACCTCCAGACGCATTCTGGTGTGATTAAAGTGTAAACCTACTGAGAGCCACCGGGCTCAATAGGAAACATATTTTACAAATTATTTGAACTTACTACCGTCAACTACTGCTTATAATGGGGCCCAAAAGTTGAAACTTATCCATCACCTATTAGGAAATGAGGGCCAGCGTTAATTTGATGCACTGGAACTACAAAAAGGGGGCACGCCTACAGGCGTTAGATGTACTAAAGGGGTCTTGGGGCGCCCAACCTAATATCTTTGCTGAACGTTACAAATTCTGAAGTTTGAGACAATAGGGCTCAGAGCCCTTGGAACACTCTGTCTACTGCTTGCTCCGTGCAGTAAAAATATGCAATTGCTCTAGCATTCCAAAGAATAGAGTTGAGGGGGTTATGCTGACACAACAAGTAATATCCGGCATCACTGAGCAGCACATACGAGAAACGCTACTTTTGCAAAACTCCTCGAAGCTCTCCTGAGATAGAGTCATAGAGATAGCTAGGCTCGTAACAACTGTCCTTGAACAGTCATGTCTGTTCAGCACCAAAGAATC